AATATTGGATGAAAAATAAAGTTAAGTTTCCAGAACTTGATTTGATGTCTTGTGACATTTTAAGTATTCAAATTACTATTGTGGCTTCTGAACCGGCATTTAGTATTGGTTCACGGGTACTTAGTAAGTATCGAACTTCACTACTTGTTGAAAATGTGCGAGCCTTGATTTGTACTAGAAATTGGAAGTTGGGATTTGATGTGCAAGGTATATATTGTATTAGCTTCTTAGATTTTGTAATTATTTATGTATCCTTTTTTAACCATCTTACTAACTTTTAGTTATATTATGAATATACCATCTTTTAGAGACCAATTTGAGCATTTACTCATAAAATAATCTTTGAATTTGAAAAATATTAACCAACTTAGCCTTTTTATTACCTACTATTTTCAACAATGTTGGTAAAGCTAAGTTGACACATTAATGATTTGTTTGATGGAGGAAAGGAATTGAAGGAAATAAGTAAAAATTGATTTGATAAGAAATATATAAAAAATAAAGTAGAACTTGTAGTTGTTTGATAAAGTGAAATTGGATGAAAAATAGAGGAAAGTTGATTTTTTAAAATTATATTTTATATAGGTAGACTTTTATCTAAAAATAAATAATATATACAATTTCTATTTTACTCCTCCCATTATATTGAAGTGGGATTATATTTTTTTATATATAAAATATAGTAGCATAATCGATTTTACTAGTTGACAACTGATTATGCTACTTGAGTTGTACATTCCATATTGCATTATGTTTGTAAAGTAGTTGAATATGAGAAAGTAATGACAATGCCAACATAATACAATATAAAATATTGATAGTTAAATATGGCTCCATTCCATGAGTGAGCAAGGTGTGAATGGAGACATTTACTTAAATTGACATAATTCAACAAGTATCCCCTCAAGTGAGAGGGTGATTCTCTTCTTGGGGGTTCTACCACTTACTCAACTCAATACCCTTTTAATTTACTTCTATCAAACACAAATAATTTTATTAATTTTCCTCTAATCTATTTCCCTCTCCTCAAATCACTCTCAAATCAACTTGAAAATTATCTAAAGTTGCTTCTTGCAAGTTAGCTTTTGTTTTTTCCTACTATTTTTTTTTTAATATAAACACCTAATCAAATTGTATTCATTCATTTTTGTCAAAGTAACCAATAATAGTATGATTAAGTCTACCTATACTTATTCCACTCAAATTCATGTTCTATATAGAATTTTAATAGTCAATCCGTTCAATTAAAATTTTTTAATGCATAAATCAAGTTTGCAAATTTTTATATTTGATACTCCATTTAATTAATTCAAATCGATATATAAAATATTTTATGATTATCCATCAATTTGAATTAATGAAACAATATATTAAAAAAAATTATTTTTATTTTTTAAAATTTACAAACTTGATCTATGTATTAAGAATTTTTAGTTTAACAATTGAATCGTTAAAATTTGATGTAGAACATGAATTATTGAGTGGAGTAAGTAGATCTCCCCCCCTCTCTCTATATATATATATGTGTGTGTATATATATATATATATATATATATATATATATAGAGAGAGAGAGAGAGAGAGGGGATGGATCCACTTACTTTAAGAGTAAGTTTACAAACTTACTATACTCAATAACTCAAATTTTACATCAAATTTTAACGATTAAATCATTGAATTAAAAGGTTCTTAATGCATAGATCAAGTCTATAAATTTTTTTAAAAATTTGAAAACTATTCAAATTAACACATAAAATATTCTTATGATTATCCGTTAATTTGAATTAATGAAACAGAGTATCAAATAGTTTTCAAATTTTTTTAAAATTTGCATACTTCATCCATGCATTAGGAATCTTTAATTCAACGATTAGATCGTTAAAATTTGAATTATTAAGTAGAATTTGTTTAAACAAACTTACTCCTATAAAAAGTGAATCTCTCCTTTTATATATATATATAT